CACACACACAGCGCTTCTGAGTGAAAACTGGTCGGCTAACGTGCCTCAATCATTTGCCTCAAAATGACAGGCATCCTGCAGATTCCAGGAATGACTCCTTTTCTTTCTGTTTCTTTTTCCTCTCCCTTCCCTTCCCATCCCTTCTTTTCCTTTCCTTTGCTTCTACAAAGCATTTATTAAGCCAGCTAAGCAGGCTGATCCCTGGAGACCGTCCCCTTCCAGCAAAGCTTCTGGTGAGTTGGTGACAATGACCGTTGCTGATGGTGGACCAGCACTTATTCTGTGTGAGGCACAGTGCTTACGACTTCACAGACCATCTCGTTTAATCCTCACAACAACCCTGTAAGAGAAATACTCTTACTACACCCGCCTTCACTTGAGGGGAAAGGCTCACACAGGCTAGGTGACACATGCAACTGGACTTCAAAGACAGAAATTCAACACGGTAACTTGGCCTCTTCTTGGGTTGGGTTCTGGAAGCAAATCTGTGATGAGATTCGAGTGCAGGAGGCTTAGTGGACAGCACTCTCAGAGTGGCCCCCTTCACATCCAGACCCAGAGGGGGCTGAGGCAGAATTGCCTCTGATACTCTGCTGTGGAAGTACAGACTGCTGGTCTTTCTGGGGGGCATGTTGGCAAGAAGCATCAGAAACTTTAAAAATAGCTCAACTTGTCAATCGTGTACACCATAGACCTGTTTTTTATTTTTATAGTAAAAGAAATACTTTTACAATCAGGAAGACAAAAATTATTGGTAGAATCCATCACTGCTGTTCTGATTTCAGGCTTCAGGTTTCCTATAACGCTGCCACTGCCTAGCAGGATGACCTTGGACGAGTCATTTAGGCTGCCTGTAACTGGTTCCCGTAGTCTGAAGGAAGGAGTAAGAATAATGCTGACCATGTACAGCATTTCTGTGAGGACTCAATGAGTTAGAATGGCTAAGTGCTTCAAACAGTGGCTGGCAGAGTGTAAGAGCTCTGTCCAGGTTAGCTGTTTTCCTTATTATTATTCATATATTTAGGCCCATTTTGGGTCACTCGTTTCTCTTGAATCTGGGTTTTACTTATGAGGACAGAGATACACGTGGTGTCCCCACCTGGGACAGTCCCTGATATGCTGCTTCTGATTTGGCCTGCCTCTCACTGGGGGCCGCAGCAGCTCTGAAGCCCCACGTTACTCCCTGCAGAGTGACCAACCGCTGAGCCCCAGCAGTGACTGAGGTCAGGATGTGGTTGGAGACCCAGTTAGCCCGGAATGAACACAAGCCGTCTATTGCAACACTGCATAAAACCAGCTCCGAGAGGAGGGAGTGATTGTATTTCAACCAGCGGGAATGAGTTTGTGTCGGGAAATCAGCCCATTTGGCAAAATCTCACTAAAATCTCGATATAGTGGTTGCTTACATTCTCAACAGCAAAGAGATAAGCAGGCACAGTGTTTCCAGCCCCACCCCCACCCTGACTGTTAAGGAGGTTCCTTAAATCAATATTCTAAATAAATCCTTGACAAAGCTCCACTTTCTCTGTAGCCTCTGTGGAAGAGCAAATCAGGTGCAGGTCAGAAACCATGGCTGTTAGTTCCTCCTTTCCATTTGCTAGTTGTTTTTCTACTTTGTGGACCTTAATTTTTTCTCCTGTGTAGAATGGCAGAATGATCTAGTCCCAGAGCTTGAGGGAACTAGAATAAGACAATACACGGAAATAACCCTAAAAATACATTTGCAATAAGCTCTACACAAGTGCAAATTATTAGTGGCATTAAATAAAAAGACACATCCTGTGTTAGATAAGTCCCATGAGGCTATGGCAGAGTCACCAAAACCCACGTGTCCTAGTCCCCTTGCTGCTGGACGGAGCCACGTCACTAGTTCTAGCCAATGGTATGTAAGTTGATGTGCCCTACATCACGTCCTGGTCAAAGCACTGGAGAGTCGGTACTTACCCCTGCAGTCCCTCTCTTTTCCAACCTGATGCCTGTGAAGGCCACATGCTGGGATCCTGGTGTGTCAATCAAGCCAGGTCCCTGAGTCTCTCTGGGGAGCCAAAACCCTACTGACCTTGGCTGGACAGTAGCATGGGTGAGAAAGAAGCCTTTGTTGTGTGAGGCCACTGAGACTTCAGGATTCAGTTGTAACTCTAGCAGAACTTGATTTTACTCCACAGACTAGAGTGAAAGAATTGTCACACTAATTTCTCTTTCTAAAGTCAAATCAAGTGAGACTCTAAGCCCCCTTTCCACTTAGGTTGCTTGGAAATACAATCTCAGTCACCACTGGAGCTCCTTTCCCCAAACTCCCCCTCGTGTTGGGGGAGTGCCCAGAGGGTCTTGGGTAGCAGAACATTTGAGGAGGACCCTCTAAGTCCATGCCCCATCCCCTGCCCTCATGAAGGTGGGTGGCATTATTGCTTCTGCTCAAGCCAAGCACAGGATTATTTGCTAAGATGGGTTTCTGGAACCTGAAATGCACCTTCCTGGGCACACCTGTCATTTCCCACCACACTGGGTCACCCCCAGGAAATGGGCCAGACACAGGACCCCAAGCCAACTTTCCTTTGCTCATCCTTGGAGAATCTGCATGCTTCCCCGAAAGTTCGTGCTTCTGTATGCACTTCCTACCCTCTGTCAAACCTCCCATGTTGCATCCTCCTTCACAGAGTTTAGGCCTCCCCAAAATAAAAAGTAAGTAAGAGCCATAGAAGCAGTGGGGTAGCCCATCCAAATGCCTGCTTCGTCTTGCATCAGAAACACCCTCTGAAACAAGGAAGCACAAAAGCCCATTCCACCTTCTCAGAATGGGGGACAGGTACAATTCCAGAAAACAAGAAGCACTTTACTGTTTCAGCAAGTTATCCTACCACATGGGTGACTACTCATGCTGAGGAGGAACACAGGCCAAGATCTGCAGTCATTCTCTCAGTCTGCAGATCACACGGAAAAATTGCACCATGCAAATTAGCACGAGCTCACAGGCCAAGGTCTTGAAAAGAATGATCTAGTCCCAGAGCTTGAGGGAACTAGAATAAGACAATACACGGAAATAACCCTAAAAATACATTTGCAATAAGCTCTACACAAGTGCAAATTATTAGTGGCATTAAATAAAAAGACACATCCTGTGTTAGATAAGTCCCATGAGGCTATGGCAGAGTCACCAAAACCCACGTGTCCTAGTCCCCTTGCTGCTGGACGGAGCCACGTCACTAGTTCTAGCCAATGGTATGTAAGTTGATGTGCCCTACATCACGTCCTGGTCAAAGCACTGGAGAGTCGGTACTTACCCCTGCAGTCCCTCTCTTTTCCAACCTGATGCCTGTGAAGGCCACATGCTGGGATCCTGGTGTGTCAATCAAGCCAGGTCCCTGAGTCTCTCTGGGGAGCCAAAACCCTACTGACCTTGGCTGGACAGTAGCATGGGTGAGAAAGAAGCCTTTGTTGTGTGAGGCCACTGAGACTTCAGGATTCAGTTGTAACTCTAGCAGAACTTGATTTTACTCCACAGACTAGAGTGAAAGAATTGTCACACTAATTTCTCTTTCTAAAGTCAAATCAAGTGAGACTCTAAGCCCCCTTTCCACTTAGGTTGCTTGGAAATACAATCTCAGTCACCACTGGAGCTCCTTTCCCCAAACTCCCCCTCGTGTTGGGGGAGTGCCCAGAGGGTCTTGGGTAGCAGAACATTTGAGGAGGACCCTCTAAGTCCATGCCCCATCCCCTGCCCTCATGAAGGTGGGTGGCATTATTGCTTCTGCTCAAGCCAAGCACAGGATTATTTGCTAAGATGGGTTTCTGGAACCTGAAATGCACCTTCCTGGGCACACCTGTCATTTCCCACCACACTGGGTCACCCCCAGGAAATGGGCCAGACACAGGACCCCAAGCCAACTTTCCTTTGCTCATCCTTGGAGAATCTGCATGCTTCCCCGAAAGTTCGTGCTTCTGTATGCACTTCCTACCCTCTGTCAAACCTCCCATGTTGCATCCTCCTTCACAGAGTTTAGGCCTCCCCAAAATAAAAAGTAAGTAAGAGCCATAGAAGCAGTGGGGTAGCCCATCCAAATGCCTGCTTCGTCTTGCATCAGAAACACCCTCTGAAACAAGGAAGCACAAAAGCCCATTCCACCTTCTCAGAATGGGGGGCAGGTACAATTCCAGAAAACAAGAAGCACTTTACTGTTTCAGCAAGTTATCCTACCACATGGGTGACTACTCATGCTGAGGAGGAACACAGGCCAAGATCTGCAGTCATTCTCTCAGTCTGCAGATCACACGGAAAAATTGCACCATGCAAATTAGCACGAGCTCACAGGCCAAGGTCTTGAAAGAATTTAATCTGTGGGTGAGTCACAAGGAAATTTGCCTACGAACCATGAAAATATGTGGCCCCAGCCTAAATCCCTGTTGCCACCCCTATGCTTAGATCCTTCTCCCTAGCAAACACCCATGTGTCTGTGTGATAGGCAGTAAGGCAAAGTTCAGACATCTTTAAAAATAAATATACTCTAGTCAACCTTTGATTATTTTTTAGAGGGCCCAGAGTGTGCATTTTTAAAGGCTCCTCCTCTTTGCTGTCCACTCTGCCGACTGCCAGGAGACCACATTTGCATTTGGGAAAAAGAGAAGAGAGAGGGGAACACATCGATCCAATGTGTCCTTTGCTAACAGTGTCATTTGCTGACAGGATGTCTGTGTGTGTGTGTGTGTGTGTGTGTGTGTGTGTGTGTGTGATGGGGGGGCGGGTGATGTGTATGGCGGTATTGTGTGTGTGTGTGAAACATTTATTTTAGGATGCTCAGTTGGAGGATGAAAAGAACCAAAATTATGACATTAAAATGGGTCAATATTGTATCTTTTGCAAGGAGCACATGTGTTGGTATTTTATCAATATGCTCGTTAGGTGTGTAAGTCTGACAAGCTAAATGCTGACTCACATTTGTTTTGTTTTTTTTAACCATTAAGTAACATTTTTAATTTTTGCTCTGCAGAAGATAGAGTGCAGGATGCCCGGAGGTAGGTAGGCTTTTATGCTGTCTGTGGAAAATATTAAATGGCACAGAGTCCAGATTCCACCAGAGCCGTCTTCAGGTCCTCACGGGAGGATTCACTGCTCTATCTGCGCCTGATTCCACGGCCCAGCCCGGTGTTTCTCATCCTCAGCACTGCTGACATTTTGGGCCAGCTAATTTTCTGTTTTGCTAGGCTCTTCTATGTCTGAGAGGAGTTCAGCAGCATCCCTAAGCACTCCTCCGCCCCCTCCAACCAACTATGGGGCAAAAATGTCTCTAAATACTGCCACCCCTGAGGGCGAAATTGCTTCTAGTTGAGAACCTCTCTAGTCTTCACCAGGGAGGCAATAGTGCTATGGAAAAAAACAGCCTGCCGCTGGGGGACCCCTGCTCTCTGAGACATCACATCGTGATTTAAGTTGACGGGTTCCTTGGTCCGGCCTTAATGTCTCCCACATGTGTTGTGAGCAGCACAGAATCCAATGGATGTCGACTTGTGCTGGGTAAAGGCAGGGTTTGAGAACTGCTTTCTGAGCCTGACTGCAGGACATGTCAGAGCCTTTCCCGTCTTCCTGCAATTGTGACTTTCCCAGAGAGGTTAGTTTGCAGCTCTTTTGAAAATGTACTGGCCTGCGACCAGTGATGTCTGTTAAGTCATTTTGGTGCTTAGCTCTATGCCCAGAAGCAGAACCTGGGAAATTTAGCCGAGCTAGAGGGTATCTGAGAGCTCCTTGATTTGAGTCTGGAGACCCCTTAGACCAGGGATCTTTCTTGCATTCTTTTCCACCACGGGCTTGTGTCGAAATGGGATCTTACATCCGTGGCTGGCTAGATTTTATTTTCAGGCTCAGGATGGGTCCATTTAAAAAATTCAGTGTGCAGCCACACTTCAGAATTTGAGATGGGATGGAGAAGCAGTCACCTCCCCAACCTAGGTGTGGGAAACGTGGTTTCCTTAGGGGTACCCCTGGGACTTGTTCTCAGGACCAGCAGTGCCCAAGAACCACCCCATGTCTGGTGGTGTCCATCAACTGTACCCATTCATTTCCTAGAGCCGCCGTAACGTACTACCACAAACCCTGCTGCTCTCCATCTTCACCTGTGTGTCCAAATCGTCAGGTTACTAGCGATTACATTCAGCTAATCTGGGGTCATCGCCCCACCTCTGGATGCCTGACATAATCACTTCTGCAAGTCCCTTGGTCGTGTAAGGAAATAGTCTCAGGTTCCAGGATTAGGATGTGGATCTTTTGGGGGAAGCCACTGCTCAGCGTGCCCCAGCAGGCATCCTAGGGAATGCAGAATCAAGTTCTTGCTGCCACCCTAATAAGCAGGACTCTGGGAACTGGGGAATTAAGCAGCAACAGCAGCTAATTCTTCACAGCCTCCCTTCCCCACCCACATGAGGCTTAGAGACTCCTATACAAATGGAGTCCTACAAGCCGTAGTAGTAGTAACTCACATAAAAATAATTAATTTAATCCTCACTAAAATCCCGTAAGGGCGATACAATTATTATCACTACTTTCAGATGGGGTGAGGCACAGAGAGGTCAGGTAACTTGCATGAGGTCACACAGCTGTGAGTGGCAGAGCCAGCACTCAGGCTGAGGGACCTGCTCTCTCCCCTTCCCCTCTCTCAGGATTCGCAGACATCATTAATAGGGACTCTGATGTACAGATCCAGCGGTTCTGCCATCTGCCACCAACCCCTAAAAACCAAGCTCTGACCTGTGAGCTAACCGAAGCAGATGCCACTACAAAGCGGAAGGGCAGACTCCAGAGGGTGATGCACTCCTGCCCGGGTGGTGAGATGAGGAAGTGAGGAGCAACTGGGGGACTCGCTTTGGGGTCTGACAGATCTCTGCAGCTCCAGCTCACTGGTATTGCCTCGCAGCTTCCAGGGCTTTGGACCTCAAGGGCACAGAGATGACTGGAGGAGGAGGCAGATGAGCAGACAGGGGTGAAATGGGAAATAGGCTCTTTGAACCTATGGGAGGGACAGTGGGGAGACAGCAGTCAGCATTCTGGGACCTGTTTATGATGAGCCACAGGAATGTGATGGTGAGCCAAGCTGTCTGCTGCAGACTAGTCATTCTACATAATTCTGTAGTGAGCACATGCAGCCAGCAGGAACTCAATGCCTGGGTCTCAGAAATAAAGTCCATTCGAATAGTGAACAGAAAAACCATTTCCAAAAGCCATGTCCTTCTTGGCCTCAGTCACTTCTGCTCAGTGCCGCTGTTCTGATGTTCTCATACTCAGGTATCGGCTCAGAGAATCTAGAGGGTCCATCAGATAAAGCCCTGACTTCCCAAAGATAAGGTGCCTGAAAGGGACATACTAGGCACTAAGTAAATATTTCTGGGTTGTGAATTGCACAATTGCCTGTCACAGGCAGATTCACCACGAAGCTGATAAAGCATCAGCCCAGGGCCCCTGACTACCCCTGGGTCCTGGGAGCTGTAGAGTCAGGGGAAAACCAGCTAGGGAGGGAGCCAGGTTACAATGAAGACATATTTCTGCATAAGCATGAAATCTCAGAGAAAGGGATCTAAATTTTCAAGGCAGTCATTTAATAATTTGTTGATACTTTTCTCATTCTAAATAAATAATCACTCTCATGCCTAATTTTGTAGGCATAATCGTTTTCTTAAAAATGGTCCTCCTAAATGGAGCTAGAGGGTATTATGCTCAGTGAAATAATTCTGGCAGAGAAAGACAAATACCAAATGATTTCCCTCATCTGTGGAGTATAAGAACAAAGCAAAACTGAAGGAACAAAACAGCAGCAGAATCACAGAACCCAAGAAGGGACTAGTGGTTACCAAAGGGGAGGGGGTATGAAGGGTGGAGTGGGGAGAAGGGGACTAAGGGGCATTATAATTAGCACACATAATGTAGGCAGGTCACAGGGAAGGCAGTATAGCACAGAGAAGACAAGTAATGACTCTATAGCATCTTACTACACTGATGGACAGTGACTACAGTGGGGTGGCTGGGGGGGACTTGATAATATGGGTGAATGTTGAAACCACATTGTTGCTCATGTGAAACCTTTATAAGATTATATATCAATGATACCTTAATTAAAAGAATGGTCCTCCAAATTATGTGTCAGGTCCCACTAAACTTGGATCCTTCTTGATCACAGGAAAAAAAGAACAATACAAAGAAGGATTTTTCCAAACTCATCACTGCCATGATAAAAGAGACTCTGAGAAAATGTTCTTTCTAAGACCAATGCCCAGGGTAAGGATATGGAAACAGGCATATGGATCAAACAGATGCCCAGATTTGAATCAAAAGCCAAGTCCCATAGAGGCTCACTCTAAAGCTTTTTAAATTTTCTTTAGAACACAGTGCTTCTGGAAAACAGTAAAATGAATAAAGCCAACGTTATGAGTTCCATTCTAACGGAGGTGGAATTCTAGTGCAATTCCTGTGCTCAAGAGATTTCCCCCCAAGTTTTGATACTAGCGTTTTGGAGCCTGATGGAGTTTTTGCAGCAGGAAACTTGTTCAGACACCTTAGCATTACTTACAGAATTATTTAAAGAGCATTTACTATCTGCAGGGCACTTTGTCAAATACTGAGGGAGTAGAAGAAATCTAAGGCAGGTCTCTGCCCTCAAGAAATGTAGAGCTTATTTGGGAAGAAAATACATGACTCTGAAATCTTTCACTGTTGCTCCATCTTTCTTCTGATGCTATGACACAATGACCACTAAATTGAGTCTCCAACAGACAGAATTTTGCCTGAGTGCCTGCCAGTCCCATGCCCACCTTCCTCCCACTATTCAGAATCCTGGGTGCAGGTGGCGAGGGCTCTGTGAACCTCCACAAATCATCCATCCCACCCCAGGTGATGGAGCAGGAGAGACCACCCTCATACCTCTCCACCTGACATAGTACCTCCCAGAATTGCTCAGGAATGGACAGGCCCAGGAAGCGGGCAGGAGTTCTAGCAGCTAGAAAATAATTAATGGATTATCACCAGATTCCCCTACAGGGGAACTCAGTGTGAGCTTTTAAAGTAGACAGTGTCAGTTCTCAGAGCAGCTTCATAACCAGGAAATTTAGCAAAGAATGCAAATTCTGTGGAATGCAATTTAAATATGCTTGAGACGACTGGGCTTCATGGCTTCTGGAAGAGAATTTGTATCCAGATCCCAAAGGAGACTAGTTATTTCCATGGAAAGGACAGAAGTTATTTCCCAAGATCAGTCTATCCTGACTGGGGTAAACAGGGAAATCTAAGAGATGGGACAGTTAGAAAAAGAAAGGGCAGTAGATGGGATTTCTGGACATTTTAATATTAGAGCAAATACAGGCTATCCAAAAAGCATGCAAATCAGGTTCTCTGGAGGAAGCCTGTGATTGCCATTAACTTCCTTTCCAGAAAAATACAGAAGGTACCTCTTACAGAGCTGTGCGTCCACTGTGCATTAGATAAGGAGCACATTCATTCATTCAACAGCAAGTGTTTGTTGAGCACTTGTTATATGTCAAATGCTGAGGACCCAATGCCTAAGGTCCAGCAAAACAGAAAAAGGCTCTACCCTTGCAGTTCTTGAGGTGGCCGAGCATTAGCAAGTGTGAAATGGTAAGGGTAGCATGTATACAGCATGTGGTTACTACAGTGCAATGGAACACAGAACAGGGACGTGGGACCCGTCCAGGGGCCAATGCAGACCTCCAAGAAAGTGAGGCTTGAGCTGGTGGACAGATGAGAAGGATTTAAGAGTGCCCCAGACAGAGCAAAGAGCTGCTCCAAGTCCCTGCGGTGGATCATTACCCGTGGCTGGAGTGGAGAAGCATGGGGTTTAGACCAGTGCTGTCCAACCGAACTTGCTGCGATGATGAAAATGTTGTATAATAATCTTCACTGTTCAAAAGGGTAGCCACCAGTGACATGTGGCTACTAAGCACTTGAAATGTGCCCAAGGAACCAAATACTTAATTTTGTTTCATTTTAATTAGGTTTAATTTAAATAGCCCCATGTGACTAGTAGCTACCACATTGGCCAGCACAAGCCTTGAAGTGATGGTAAAGAAGCTTGTTGAACAGCAGTAGAGAGACACGGAGTGCTTCTGGGCAGGAGGCTTGACAAGATTAGATTTGCATTTTGGCTGCAGTTAGGAAAACTAAAGGGAGTCAGAATCAAAGTATCCAGTTAGGCGGCTAAATCCTTGTGACTTAGACTAGGGTGAGAAGGGCAGAGTTGAGAGGGTAGATAGATTCAAGAGCTACTTAGTTTCTTTATTAGAAAGAACTAGGGCTTCTTTATTTGCTACAATAATGAAAAGTAAGCTATGATAGTCACGAATTACAGCAATTCCCCATTCTCGGGAATGGGTTTTACCATAGGAAGTACTTAGCCCCCAAATGTAAGAGGCACACATGTCAGCATTTTGTCCCAAATATACATGATTTGCTGATGGACTGGTCATTATGCGGAGGGAGAGAGAAATTCTGAGAATCACTCCTAGGATTCTGACTCACCCAGCGATGGACAGCGGTGTATGTCAGCTCTGTCGGTCCCTCCTGGCTCTGCACCTTCCTCCCCCTTCTTGATTCTCTGTTGCTGACCAGTAAGACGTGGACTTCACCCTCAGGAGGAGCCTGGGGGTTTTACTCTTTGCACTGGGTAGGAAAACAGCCCCCTAAAAGATGCTCACCTCAAACCCCTGGGACCTTTGAATGCTCCCTTATTTGGAAATAAGGGTCTTTGAAAATGTGTTCAAGTTAAGGATCTTGAGATGAGGAGATGATCCCAGAATATCCAGGTGGGCCCTAAGGACTGTCACAAGTGTCCTCAGCAGAGAGAAGAGGAGGAGGCATGTGACCCCAGGCAGAGACTAGAGTGATGCAGCCACAGGGCCAGGGACACCTGGTGCCACCAGCACCTGGGAGAAACAGGCCTCTCCCTGCAGCCTCCAAAGGGGATGGGGTCCTGCCAGCACCTTGATTTGGGACTTCTGCTGTTTTAAGCTACCAAGTTTGTGGGAATTTGTTATGGCAACTTCAGCAAACCCATACTCCACCCCCACAATCTCTTTCCCCAGGAAAGTCATAGCCAATGACGACTACAGTAAATGCACAAAAGCCCACTCCTTAGCCTCAATGTAGAACAAACTTTTAGGTGTAACAAGCTCCAGACGTCCCCAGAAGACCAGCCTGATCAGGGACTTCAACTGACATGCACCTCTTCTCTGCTTCTCTGCCTCTCTGCCTCCACCCCATCTGCTGCCCCCACACTCTCCCACCTTCTCCATGGAACACCTGCCTTACAAATTGCCTGCTTTTAAGCCCAAAGGCCAGGGTTGGCTGTGGGGGGACAGGTGGACTTCAGGGGGCAGAAACCACAGCTGAGGCCCAGGTTTAGAGGGAAGAGGGTTACTTTTGTTTGAGACGTGCTGAGTGGAAGTGCTTTTGAAACAGGGCTTGGCAGACTAGGTCCTGCAGACCAAATCTGGCCAGCAACCACCTGTTTTAATAAATAAAATTGTATTGGAACATAGGAAGTGACTCAATCATTGATGGGAGTGTCTAAGGCCCCTTGCACACCACAGTGGCAGAGTCGAGTAGTTAGAACAGAGACGGCATGGCCTACAAAGGTTACAGTTATTTGCTCTCGGTCCTTATAGACCTAAGCAGCCAGATATATGGGTCTGCAGCTCAAGGCTTGGGGGTATGAATTTAGGAGTCCTCTACATGCAAGTGGCAATTGACGCTGTGGGTGTGGAGGCCCTCACGTCAGAAGTGACACAAGAGGGAGAAAGGGAGAGAGCCAAGACAGAGCCTTTAGAATTGTAGCG